TTTTCCAATTTGAGGAGCATTAAAGAACAAGTGTTGCAGTCAAACTGACTTTAATATGAACAGAATAAATTTGGAATAGTTCGACTATTCCCGGAAATCTGGGGGAGTGTTGGTCACGTGGACATTGGGTAATACAGGACTCCTGATTAGAAGAGTATCATTGGGTCTGGTATCTAGACTGAGTCTTCATATGCAGCGAGTTGAGCTAGTTTTAGCTAACTCACCGCGGCGAGATAGTAACTCGTCGCGGCGAGATAAGTCACCACGCCGAGATAGTAGCTCGCCGCAGCGAGATAGTAAGTTTAGTGAGTTACATACTAAGAAATAAGTAAGTGATATACTACATGTAATATAGTAAGATAGTAAGTATTTTTTGAAAGTGGTCTGTATACGCTTCCGTATGCAAGTGGAAAAACACCATAGGAAATACTTCACCCTTTAATAGATTACAATTTTGAAAAAATCCCCAAATATTCCATTCCAATGAAATGATCAAAGGTGCTTTACACAGAACTAATTTTCCCAATTAACAAGTGGTTAAAATTAAGAAAGTGCTGAAATATGACAAGGATAACATTGCAATGTAGTACTTTTATACCCATTTGACAACCTTCAGTCAGAAAGCGTGTTCGTTTAATGTAGAGAAAATTATGGGCTTTGTGAAAGTAGCAACCAGAATTCAAGTACAAAGATTTCAGACCACAAGTTGGTGATGATGATGATAAAACCTGCAATGTCGTCTGTCAAGAAATACGACGACCAAGTGGTACAGACGACAACTGCCAAAGACTAAACACGTGTCATAAAAATTGAAGGATGGTGGGAGGTGGCAACAAAGGCCATCCTCCCCAGAGGAACACTTTTTTTTCAAAAACGAATTTGAGAATCGCCAGGGGGGGTCTATTTCAGTTTCCTTTCCTGAATAAGTACACACAGCCACAAAACTGATTTTCTCCCGTCAGAAAGGCCATAAAAGGTTGCATTAAGAAAGTCCACTGTCCCCCTCAAATGTATTGAGGGTCAACCATGAAATTTTGGTTATAAACCTTGTGATTTTTGGTAGGAAACGGGGTAGGGGTTATGCTACTGGAGCAATACCCTAATAAAACGTTGGAAATGCACCCTACTAAAGTATTAAGGTTTAAACAATATGATTTAAAAATACATCTTGGTTTATGTTATGGAGGCCTAGAAGACAAAAACGACTGTCATGGTAAACGCAATTCTGTTTTCGGCGAACAAAAATGACCATGTGCTATTGATATTCTGTAAACCTTAAATTCCTTTTGTGTACATCGAGGTGAAATTGATTACTGCTTCTGACGGCCATTGCTTTCACTAAATTCTTTCCATGTGTGGCATGCTGCAGCAATCTCAGCCCATTCTCATTAGGCTGCGCTGCCTATGTTGTTGTCGAAACCAAACGGGTAAAGAGCCGTCACGTCAAAGGTCACGCAGCGTGACCTGCCCACGGCCAGCTTACTTGAGGTTTAGCTTTCATGTAATTTTGGTAAAAATGATGTTTGTGAATGAAACCGCTTTAGGAAACACTCATGAGTTTAATCTTTGTGCTCTTTGCATAGAACGTTGAAAAAAAAATCATCTTCAGATGGGTAAAATAAAAGGGACAACTGAAATGTATAACGTTGTGCTTGTCGGTGAGGCAAGATAAGACCTCACAAGTTTTCGTAAAATGCTGGATATATATTCCTGTACATTTTTCTGAAAAACTGTAATCTGTGCATTTTCTCTCGTTCACCTGTTTCAATACCTAAACACCATCACAACATAAAGTTTGTACCTTTCACTTACGTAGAGTTTAGAGTTGCAAATGTTGACAGGTATTTTAGACTATACGAGTATTTTAGAGTATTTATTATTCAATTACTTCACGCTTATTTCAACTTACGTCAGTAAGTATCAAACATTGTTCTGATTTCAGAAAAGCAATCTTAAAAGTGCAAAACAATTTCCAGCATGGATAAGTAACAGAGCAGGTTATATTAACGAGCACTGTAATTTTGAGGCGCACATGAGATAGAATCATTAGTAGGTTAGCCTGCATTAGGGCATGACCAGAAATGTTTTGCTATTGTGCGTGCCAGGTGCAAAATTGTTAAATTAGAATACATTTCTAGAGATTGACTCTTTGTGAGAACGGCAAAACGCTTGGTTTTGCCCTTTATTGCTGGCGATATACCTATTGAAGCCAGCTACCTCTCTTCGTGAAAACGGAAAAACGTAGTTTAGTCAATTTTACCTCATGCACCATCGATCGCTATTTGGCTGTTTTAGTAGAATCGGCCAAAAAATGACTACACCGAGTTGTAGGCATCACATAGCGTAGTTGATTTAAACAAGACATTGGAAAAGTCTTGATTTGGGGCTACTTTAGTGTCGTCATGAAAATGGTGACGATATACATGGGGCGAAACAAATTACATTTCGAAAAAAATAGATTTAAGTCGAAATAATTCGAAATAACATATAGTGTGCTTAAAATGTAAACACTGAGAATTACATAGTCATTGTAGGATCACATGCGTGATTCCGTGATGCTTCTAAGAAATGATGTCGTGTGAAATGACGTTCTAATCATATGGGCATCTTTAAGGGCCTCCGCACTATGTAAATATGCAATGGCATTAGGCTGATGCGGCCAGATTAACGGTTAGAGGGCCGTCATCTTGAATGCTAGCTGGATTCTTGGCCTTGGATTGTTGTGTTCTTTTCTTGTTATTTGTCATATATGCTTGCATATCGATTGGTCCTATATATGTATTTGTTTCACCCTTTACAAATTTTTCTTTTTGGATTGGTCCTTTATGTTTTTTTTCACCATATTTCGTACTGACTTCAGTAGTTGTACGGGTTAACCTTCAAGACGTACAACCACTTCGCAAGTAATTAAGGAATGGGTAGGTTAACCACGAGACTCTTGGGGTGCAAGCAAAGGCCATTGAGGCAGTCCGCCGGCCTTTTAAGTAAAAACACGTATTAATTAATTTGCCTAACCCTACCCCCTAGTTCGAATGAACCAAACACTTCATTCATGTAGTATTAATATTCAAGGGGGCAATCCTTATAAGGCAAGAAGACTTGCATGATGGAGGAGAAATGGAATCTCCATTAAATGTATAAGAGATCCAGCAATCAGGCAGAGAGTCAAACATCGAGCCCACCAAATAAACCGCATCAGCTACCGTTTCACTTTTATTTATTTTTCAGAAGGTGTCGTCTTGTGTCGATCTTAAAAATTGGTAGGTGGACATGGACATCCCTAGCTGAATAGGTTTACGTGCCCCGTGGGCCCCTCCTCAAAAACGGTTTTCAGTAAAGGAGATAAATACATTTTCCTAGTAGGTACTTTCGTGGACACCAAACAAGGTATTTCCTTAATAAATTAGGCCTGCAAGTATACACACTACATTACAAGTCTATTTAGCTGGAACGCATCCTCGGTGATGGTCCTGGTGAAGATTGGGAGAGGACAACTATGTTTCAAGGTATGAAAGGGGGTGGCCTTCAAAAAAATAAAGATAGTTCGTAACATATACTAACTTTTTCCAGTAAGCGTAAATTCTTCTGAAGATTGTCTTCTTTGACCAAGGTTATTGCAGACCTGTAAATTTTGTTTCATTTCTCCATTCTTTCATTTTCTTCAAGTTCTTTCCTCCCCCCCAATTCTCCGCTCATACAACGAGCGTCAATCAAAGAAAACTGTCGTATGATCTTTTGTGTCGACAAGGTAAGGGGTGCTCCCTCGAGAAAAAGAACATTAACAAGAAACGGGTGGAACGAAAAGAAAACGAGATGATAGAGCATGAAAAGCAACAATTTGGTCAAAATACCCAAATTTGTCCCGTTCATTAAGTGTATCATTTTGTTCCCGATGGAACCCCCCCCCAAAAAAAGTGGTTTGGCCCCCCGTAAAAATAGTGGTGGGACAGCTGGGTATTATGACATGGGGTGAAATGGCGCGGAGAAGCATTAATATACCACGATGATATGGGGGGTAAAGGATATTACCAGTTAGGTTGATATGCATGAATGTACTTGCTTACAATGCAATCGTCAAACTCAGTAAAAGAGGGATCTTTGGAAAAATGCATAGACGATCGCCTTTAAAATGTATCTCACTGTGGCTTCGGAAAAGTTGTCATTATGGTTTTATGTGAGAATCTGTAGCTGTATATTAACTGTTTAAGAGGACTTGTGCAGTAGACAAAGTACATTTTGGATAATTTCAAGAATGGCTTACACACGATATTACAGAGTCATGGACGGAAAAGACGCTGTCTGTCAAATGTAGAGAATGAGTTCAAATACAAATATTGACATTATGAAGAAAGTCGCACTCCGTTAGTGCATGCAGAAGGTGTAAAGCAGACTCGATGGGTTTATACTGGTAACTCCATGTCACTGATTTTGCAGTAATAAACAGTACACGAATAAAAGGGCAGGACGATGGAATATTACTCATTGATCTGTGAACATGGATAACAAATCGACCGGAAGATGACTGAAGATATAACAATTCCCACTGCGAGCAATCAGTCCCAATTTCTTATCTTTACCGCTTGTCCTATAAACGCTGTACACATGTATTTAAAATGAAGTTACCTGGTTAAAACATTATCCATTCGTATAATTTTGAATTAAGTGTTTGTCTGGATTTTCAGGAAAAAACTCTCTGTCTCTAGAATTACTGAATAGCTTTTCCGTTTCTTTTTCAAAGAATCGAACTCTATGATCCAATCAACACTCTATTATTTCTGCTGAGAGCTTTACATCTTTCAAGGACGTGGCAATTATCATCTGCTTCTACACTGCTAGCCCTTGTTTTATTTGAAGGACATGCAGGTTTAAATATTTCACATAAGGCCCTATAGTCATGGGATATTGATGGTAACCACGGCACTATTGTATGGTGCACCTATGCGAACGTACCATTGTCAGTGGAGCTTGAAATTGTGTGAAATGGTTTCAAGTTCCTCTCTCACACTGACTTGAGTAGTAATGTGAGTGCGCCAGAAAGCGCAAAGGACTACGTACAGAGAAACTCCATCTCGACAGTGGACACTTTTGTCTGGTACCATTTGGAAATGAACTTGCCTAAACATTTCACCTTTGGTTTTGTGAGCCTCTGTCTTCTCATCACGTGCATGGATGGTTATGATAAATGCGTGGCCTCCATTAGAAGGTCCTGTCCTGATACCTGGAGTCAATGGGATGGCAAATGCTACAAAAAACTCCCAGTGAATCTACCCTGGGCTGAGGCCAGAGAGGAGTGCATCAAGATGGGAAGTGCGCTAGTCATGCCACAGTCTCAGGAGGAAACTGAATTCATTGTAAATAACAAGGTCGTCTTCTTTTGGATCAACTGTAACGATCTTCGCGTTGAAGGTTTGTCAAAGTAGCATGAATTTAACTCCTCATTGTAAGCTGCTAAGAATTATGTAGGTCGAGATCTATTTTTAAAAAATCGTTTGTTTAAAGATTGATTTCAGGTGCAAAATTATTCCATAATTAGAGACATTCCTTTTTGAGTGGTGAGTGAGCTTCAGTACAAAAGTGTTCCATGGTAATTCTACTGAGTCGAAATCACGAATTTTCTACATGTTGCATGGAAAGCACTAAACTCGGGACCAGTTACTTGTACATTTCGGATCGCATGTAGCCAACAATGCGGCATCTACAAGCCATTTACTTAGTCGAAGTCTATTAAGGAAATTTATATCCTGCCTATTCTAGGTTTATGGGAATGTAAGGAGGGTACTGCTGATGTACGGTACAGAAACTGGAGGGATGGTGAACCGAATAACACAGGAGATTCGGAAAATTGTGCCGCAACAGGCGAGGATGGTTGGAATGATGTATCCTGTAGTGATTTCTCTCCTGTCGTCTGTGAAAGACCAGCATTGCAGCTGCACTTTTGAACGCGGACTGTCTGCGTGTTCGTTGTTGCTAGTTAATATTTACCACTTCATATATTACAGTGCATTGTGATAATTAAGGTTACTATTTTGCACTTGTTAGAATGAAAAAAGATCTACGGATTTCTTTTTTCTTCGAGTTTTAGTGTTGGTTTTCATGTTGCCATCATAATTCTGAAAAGAAAGGTCCATGGAAATGTCTAATCAAGCTTTCTGAGTGAACTCGTCACCGTAAATAGTTTACTCTGCTGATGCAAATATCAAAGTTCGCTAGTATATCAAATCATTGCAGAGAACAGTTGCTTCACCTTAAAAAGAAATAAAAAGGGAACCCTGCATTCCGCAAATGAACCTTATTAGAACAGGTGGCAATACCATCGACTGAAATAAACATGGAGAAATAGAACAGCTTTCTTATTTATCGCAGAAAAAAGTCACAAATATTGGCTGCCATGAAACCTTTATTCGCAGATTTCAGAAACGCTTATGATGTCTTCATGCTATGCAAGTAACCCTAGAACATCACCGTTTTCATGCTTAATATGCCTTGCTCTTGTCCACTACATTAATTGTTCCATCCTTCAAGTTTAACTGGGGAATTGGTACGATTTTGTCTTGAATGTAGTTGATGGTTTTGGACGGGAATGCCCGCCAAACCCCAACCTTCAATTGGTAATCCAGGTTTCAGTACGATAACACATTGAATCGTACTTGAACAAATTCGTCGGTTCTGCGGTCGGTGATAAGTTTTATGCCAAAAAGTGTTTTTACAGGATATCCTAAGCGAACCCAAGTAGTCTTCTACGGACTCGGTCGTCACGTCAGTGGGACTCGATCGTAGAGTGAACTCGATCCATCTATTGTGGTACATATATATAGTTACTCTGTACTTGTTGCAGATCACTTCAACTTGGATCAGCGTTGGTTGTTGTCGATCAAAAGTAAATCAGCTGGGTCACAAGTAAAGTCAGGTCATAACTTCGTAATTCTTTGAGTTCTGGCATTTCTGGAAACTAGCTCATTTTAAACTAGGCACATGTGGCTATGACTTCAGTCTTGGCCACGAGCATGCCGCAGTAAAGAGCTGTATACTCGATGCGATTTATAATAATTGTCTGACACGAGTGGAAATGATCGATTAAATAACTGGTCGAAAAACAGGTACAAAAGAATAACTTGTACAGAATTATATGAAAAACCGAGACAAAATGGCCTATAAGTATCTACAAAACTGTAATGGAACTGGTGATTTGATCGAGCAATCAAAGGCAAAGTAGTAAACAATACAATCGAAACCCTTCATGTACAAGGCTTGAAAGGCAGGTTTAAAAGTTCAGTCCCGTTGAAGCATCCCTTCAGTGGTGAAAAGAAAGAAAAATGCTCTTTTTAACATCAGCACTCACGAAGACATCAGTCAAACAAAGGTGGTGTTGTTCCTCTTAAGCATGATGTCCAAAGGAATTCCTCATTTTAGAGCTGGCTGAGTTTCAGTGGAATAACCAATTTGTTGTGGCCTCTAATAGCCAAGTGGCAACTGCGATGGGAACTAATGGAACGAAACGGAATTAACGTATTAATCCAAAAAGGATTTTTTAAAAAATTCATTTTTTACCTCAAATTGAGTTTTTCAATTGCCATTAGCATGCTAGTATAAGCATGTTCAATTCAGCATAATTTGCAAATAATTGTCTTTCCCTTGACACAATACCTTTGCCAGCCTGTTAAGTGTTTTATTGTGAGTTCTTTTCGTTGCTTGTAGGTACATGTAATCGTCATGGTAACTGACTTCCTACACAGCGTTGAAAAAACTCACGAATTAATAAAAAGAGTTCAGGGCAAAAGGTTATTACCAGCATTATTTAATTATTAAATCTATTCATTAATACAGAACTTTTTTCAACAGCCTGGTAAAGACACTAAATCATTCACCACTGCCTGCCTGGTTCCTATTTATAACACTAAGGAAATATGATCTTCGTATCACCGGCGAATTTTGTAAGTGCATGCTGCAATGAATTTGTCTTAGAAGCAATTTTTCTCTTACTTAATACCTTTCTTCTGTGTATCAAAACTCTTTCACAGTCCTCTTTGGTTAAATGCATTAAGTGCGTAGGCTTTCTGTTCAAATTGTGAACCAAAAATTTACTTACTAAAAACAATTCCGAGACAGGGTTTGGTGCTTGCTAATTGTTACGCACATAAACAACAATGAAGAAATCTGAGTCCAGCTAAATCTACAAAAATGCGGGACTTTGTGTGTACAAACCATTGCATCATCGAGCTCCTTCCTGAGACATCACAGATTTGCTCATGAGTATGGAAATCTCATTAGCATAAAACCAAAAAGGCATAAAATACCCTTTGAAATAGTGGAACAAAAGCTGAAAATGGGTTAACTGAGACACAGTTGTATATTTACAGTGTTTACGTATGTCCATTGGCACCACAAGGGCTACTTATAGGGACAGTAGATTTACTTAGGCCTAAGTTTTGGTTATACCTCAACAGTTGTTTTCGTTGTAACAAAACACAATGTTAGAAATTTGTCTGCACATTTACACAGAATCTCATGACAGTTCTTATGGCAAAGACTTTGTTTTTGGACTAAACAATTATATTTGCGTAAGCAACGTAGACAAGGTTGAATTAAGCAGTATCGGCAGTAAGGTCATTAACAATAAGGAAAATATTTTGCAGATAGGAAGTGTCTCGATCATGCCACAGTCTTAGGAGGAGACTGAGTTCCTTCAGACAAATCTTTACTCCTATTTCTGGATCAACTGTAGTGATCGCAGAAGTGAAGGTAACTAGAAACTCGTCAGGCTTTTGGGTAAAATCTTGAAAAAGACGAGCTGAAAATTGCCGGGACATGTTTGTGATCTAGAATTACGGAAATTTTAAAACCTTAAGTTTAACTTACAATTAACAAGTTCTGGTATTGAGATTCACTCAAGACGAACTTCATATGTTATAAGGAGAAATGAATTTTGTCATTTACTATTCAACTTCAAACTTCGGTCACCACAATTAAAGACTTGGTCTAGAAAATTCGTCATTATAGATATCTCATCTCAGCTGACGCCCAGTGAAGGCATCCAGGGATTGAATTCGTCTCATACCCATGACTCTGAAAACTTTGTTCAATCATATAAGTTTAGTGTGGACTTGAGCATTTCCTCACATAATCAAGAATACTTTGGTACAGTAGATTCACAACATAGGTAAAAAATATTGCACGTAACAAGACCCCGAATATAAAAATTGTTTTGTTTAAAACGAAGGGGTGAAGAACAGACAATATCACAAATCACCCCCGTTTTCCTTCTGTTTACCTTTGCGTGCACTTTTATGATTTTAGAATATTGTGAAGAAAATGTATTTCAAAGAATTAAATTTAAGAAGAACTTTTGTGGAGACAACATATTTTCAAGGAAATAAGAGAGGTGAAGTGCAAAGTTATCTGTAACCATTATGTCTTCTGTATCTCACAATGATGTTTACACGGAATTGAAATAAGTGTCATTAAATCGTGTAGCAAACGACAAATTTGCTTTCAGAATGACATGGTTCGGTATAGACGAAACAAAATCCTACTCTCCTCGCCGAAAATGTGTCCTTGTGGTTTAAATTCATTTGGAGAAGAGATTAAATTATGTGAAACAAGATAAAATTAAACATAACAAGCGCACAGAATCGATTCCACTGGAAGAAATTAAAAATATCAGCAAAAATGTTTTAACGCAATTGGGAAAGCCTGTGAAACATGATCACTTCATTGAAAACGCAATTTTCACAATTCCACGCGGCTCTATTGTTTATACAAAACACTTAGACGTCATTAAGAAATAAATCTTGAGTATAATTAATATTTTTCACGGAAAACCTTCCCCTTTCAAGTGGTCGATGCTGTCTGTATCACTATCTCTGTGTTAGGCTCCTGGGATTGTGAAGATGACCGGAAACTTGTACAGTATACAAACAGGAAGGCTGGGGAATCAAGCAACAGCAGTGACCAAGACTGTGCATGGCAACAAACATCGGGTGCCTGGAATGACGTAATATGTCAAGAATCACATCCTGTAATCTGCAAACGTCCTACATCGGTGATACACTTTTTGATTTGCAGGTGCGACAATCAAAACATTTGAGAAAGTTAATTCTTTAGGGGGGTCAGGTAAACCAAACATAACGTTAGAAGGACATACTGCAAAAGTTACCCAGACAGCTTGCTTATATAATTTACAGCACATTACCTACAACCCTGTCATCTTTAAAATCTAACCGGTTGTCCTTTTAGACAGAGTGAAGGCAAAATGGACACCATTCGTTGGTTTCTTATGTGTAAATTATGTTGTTTTAACGCGAAAAGCAGTGTAAACAACAGCAGTGTAACTCAACAACATTTGACTACAGTCTGATCCATGACATAAGACACTAAACGTGTATCCACCTATTTAAAGCAAAACTCTCCAGACCCAAATAAAAAAATCAAAGGAAAAGTAACGATTACGTGTTTGCTGATCTGGCTTGCAAGAAATTATAATAGATAGATCAATGAGATAATCCAAGTCTGTATGGGATGAAATAAGTATTTGGTAACCAAATCCTTATTCAGATTTTCCCAGACAATTGGAAAAGGTGAAAATTTCCATTCTCACAAAGCTAGAGCAAGCAAAGCATCTCAAACATTGCACTTTGTAAAAGCTGTGAAACGTTAATTGTACTCGCCTGGAGGCAAGAATGTACGTTCTCTGATTCCGTTTGTTAGACAACGTGACTTCACATGCACATGGCAAATTGTTTACCAAGAGTAAAATCATGTAGTCCCGATTAGTAATAATTTTCTCCTGTGCATGTCAGCTACGGAGCTCTTTTAAGGGGACAAGCAATGAAAAGTTATTATTTTTATTTCGTTCAATTGTTATTTCGGTCTCTCGAAATCATTTCGCTCCCTCGAAATATTATTTTGTTCCCTCGAAATATCACTAACTACTTATATATTATACTTTCGAGTCGAATAAGCCTAGTTAAATGAGGCCAGTGTCATTCTCCCCTCGAAAGGGACACCTCTTTCGATCGACAACTGAGACAGGTGCGTTTCACTTTGTGCATTTCAAAATTAGCTGAAGGATGATATCCAAGTTAATTGTTTGTTTCATCCATCCATTTGAAATGGGATGAGCAAGTGAACACTATATTGCCAAATTCAGCAGATTGTTTATACCCTGAAAATAGGAAAACCGGTCTCCTTCCCTAAGAATCCTGCCTCTGTGTACACACATTTCATTCAAGACTTCGAGAAAGAATATGCTTGGGGCATTTACATGCACGATCAAACTGTTCAGATGCTGTCTAATGCCTCATTTGATAATCCTTCCTTGCGACCTCTCTTCAAATAATCATGTGCAATTTTAAGTGTCTTTTATTTTTCTTAAATAATTTAATACTTATTATTGCCTTGCAATTGTTATTAAATAACTGTTTATTCTTTAACTGCTTGCCATTTCAATAAAGCTTTAAACCATTTATGTATACACCCACAAAAACTATCGACACTGATCCAAAACAAGCCTTCACAAATTCGTTAATAATGGCGTTCAATCAACGTATGTTATGATTGATCAACCATTGCCTAAGTTGTCAGAAAACATTGACAGATGCCACATAAAAAACTGATCCAAAACCAAGGTGCTTATAATGTTGATATTTCAAATACAACATCGACGGAAGGCGAGATGCTGGTTTTTAAATATTAGAACCGGTTAAAATGTCCAGCTAACTTCTACCACACTTTGGAAACACATATTTACAAGCAAACAGCACTACAGAAAAATCTTCATAAACAGTGCTTTTTTCCACTTGATTGTACCGGTGCCAGTACCAATGCCAAGATAAGCACCGTGTCTATTTAAGAAAGTGTTTCTAAATTGTAAAAAAGCAGTGGTAGGCCAAAAGTTTTAAATAAGTTGGATTTTAGCCATGATATTGACACATTAGGCCTATGTAATTTAACTTATTTTAATTGATAAAATGCATGTCACTGAACCGTGTGTTTCATAGTTTAATCCTTTTTCAATGGTTCAGTACATGTAGTTAGTTTTTTCGATCTTGTCATTTTGCAAAACTAAGTCTGTCTTTTTCTTTGACACTGAAACGCCAAACTTTCAAACCAAACTTGTGAGTGTTTTCTTGTAAACAGCCAAATTGAAATCCATTTTCAGGTTCAAATTCATTCTTGGAGACTGCATATCTTACATCGTCAAAATCTGTATGGCGATGCACAATTCTGCCTAGATACAGAAGTAGGCCTAACTGGTGTTTTGAAATGTGTTCTTTTCTTCTGAGCTTGTGTTGTTGTTCAGCCGGCACACTTCCCCATCTCCTTGGCTTTGCTTGATATTGAAGGAGCGACATCCGGGCTCCTCGACGCAGGCTGAGCCACAGGCGGATACACTCTCGGTACTAAACTCCCGGATGACATGGTCGAGGAGGCAGATTGGATTGATAATGCGGCCGTTGGTGCGGCAGAGAGGCAGTAGCGACGAGGTCTGGTTGGGCGAGACATCAACGATTTACAATGACAAATCTACAATGATTTGAAGAAGCTCACTGTTATTCATGCTAGTAGTCCGTACAATATGCCCACTAACTATTTATATAAGACACTTTCGAGTCGAATAAGCCATATACGGAGACTATCAACCCTTCCTTGACTCCAGAGGCCAGGTACCACTCACTAGAAGGACCCCCCCCCAAATAAAAACAAAATGGGGGGGGGGATTAAAAAAAAGGCACTAACGGGCTTTCGTAAATGTGAGACCAGACCAGAAATTGCCCAATTGCCGGAAGTGGAACAAACGAGCTGAAGGCGTAAGTAGTTGGGAAATATTGTGGACAATCATTTCTATTGTCTGTAAGAATAAAAACCAAAGATATCCACGTCAACAATATCCTTCTAGTAAATGTTACCTATATCCAGAATAATAAAGGGGTTATGCCATTGTGAATGAAACCCTAAATCACTGACGCATCAAATAATGATCATAACATCAGACAGCAGATCCTGTTGCTATGGTTTTGCGTCTGGTAAATACAAAATTCAAAGGAGTGAAGATGCAGCTTTTGACAAGCGCTAATCAAGGCCACCATTATTTCCAATTGCTCCTGAATTAAACATCTGGGACACGTTGACGTAATACCCACTCACGTGAAGCCAGTTCGGTATTTCCATAAAGCGAAATTATAGCTCTGTGGGTATTTCAACAAGCCAAGGTCTTTCGGGAACAAAGTGCGTGCGTGAGTCAGTGTGTGGCTGCGCTTTCTGGATAACGGCAGAATGGTGGACTTTATACATGCCCATCATTAAGTCCTAACGCAAATCTCTTTCCAGCTTCCATAACACCTGTTTTTTAAAACAAAAACGTAACTGCTTTGAAATAAAAAATAATACCTTCTTTGGATAATAATACCAAGTGGCACTAGCGGGATTTCGTATATTTTGTGTAATGCGCATGGTACTTATTTCGTCTATGTAGCGTAACATAACATCATAACTTCTCAACAACTTATATTAGCCTAGTCAAAATGTACCCTTCACGGTCCCAGCGCGAAAGTAAGGTTTTGTTTATTTTACTCGATAGCGTCCATTAGTTCAATTGAGAAAGAAAGCCATGGGTAGCAGTTTGTCATGAGTTAGGTGGGTATGGATCATATAAGTTCACCGTTCCCTAAAGAGTTTTGTGACAAATCTAACTGAGCCAGGTTCAACTTTCCTCAGGGCAATGCTAACTCCCGACCCTGAACGTCTGCTCCTTGCTCTCTCCTAAAAAAAGCAGGCCCAATAGACTGTTTTTTTTTCTGTGTTTCTTCTCTTTACATATGACAGACGTTTTCCACCCATCCCATCTACAAAAACAATCTCTCTGTCAGTTTAGCAAATAAACAAATGACTAAATTCATTTGTATAATAAATTTGTATAATAACTGTAAGCTAAGACATTTTCTAAATTACATTTTGAAAAGATTTGGGAATAATACGGGCCGTTCACAATAGAGCGCCTCCTAGAGTTTGCAACACGTTGGTCAAAAACAACACGCGAAATCTGTTGACCCTTTCCAACGCGTATTGGGTCGACAGATTTCGTGCATTGTGATTGGTCAGTGCGTTGTAAAATCTTGATGGCGCGCTATTGTGAATCGCCCGAATAGGCCTTTCTTAATATTTTTTCAAATTTTATGCACCCGAACTGAAACGAGGCCGTAGGGGACTCCGTGCTGTCGGCATTGTTCACTGCCGTGTTGTAGCAATCACGAACGAAGACCATCGCCAGAAATCAGCTATCATCGATTTTCAAAGAACAAGATCCTGCGGGAAAAGTGGATTGTTAAGATCAAACGAGAAGAGGGGCCACGTTGCACTTTGGTGCAGTTCGATTGCTCCAATCTTTCCTTCCTCCATAATTGATGGCGCCCACCAAAATGAAATAAAGTCTGTAAGTTTTGAATTAACATCTGTAAAAAATCTGAACTTTGAAAGGAAATAGCCAGGTCATTAAAGGTAACCCTCTGAACGAAAAAAAAATCTTCAGACACCTCGCTCAGGGCGACAACCGGCCGTTTAGGCCTAGACATAAACGGTGCATGCATGTAACGTCACCAAAAAGTTCCAGACAAAATTCCGTAGATAAACTGCTTACCCTCCAGATTATGAATGTAGGTTTCGGAATAATACTTCAAGCCTTTACCAAGCTGTTGCTCTCCACTGCTTTTGGAGGCTGTTTTTTACATAATCCTCCACGAACCCGAAGGTTATCTCGGGAACCACGGAAAGATCAGTTCTGCTTACAGCCATCGTGACACGCGATTCCCCTACAGCCCTGTTTTCAGGAGCCGTGAATAAAATTTGCATATATATTAAATGTTATGGTTTATCCAAGAAATATCAAGGGCCCGGGATGGTTTTTCATTCTGTTTTGCTCTTTTCAATTAGAGATTGATCGATGTGCAAATAAACTTGGATACACTGTACTTTTGAGGCAGAAGTAAATGTTTATTCGGAGGTGTGTCTTTGTCCGCTTTATTTCTACATAGGCCTAGAGGCTGGAATGGAGTCTCGAGAGGGTAGAGATAATGAGGAGGAAATGACTTATGTTGAATCGGTGCCATGGTTACCCAAGCAATGCATTTTCGTCCCTTCAGGGACTTATCAGTCGCACATTTCCATAGGAATCGAGATATGGTTTTAGTGAGTGAGTGAGTGAGTGGCACTCACATTACAGAAAATTAGGGTTGCCGTCTGTTAGGGACTTGATAGTACATGTAAAACCACAGTTACGTTGGATGGGTTTTGATCATCCAATAAAAGATGTCGAGGGTGTCGTCGTGCTGTTCAGGTGTAGAAGACTGGTCGTTCTTTTACGTGGCTGAGTTTGGTTCTGACAATTTTTTTCCAGGTGTTGTTGGCTCTGTAAGCAAGATTTGAACAAGTGTGGGCAAATCCTTTGGCTGTGGATCTGAGGTTTCCTTTTTTGTGATGTGGCTAAGTTTTCTCAGGGTCACTGGAGCGGATCAACAGTTGAAAGGAACACAGCCAAGAAACGTTCTCTTTTTTTGGGGGGGGGAGTGGGTTAGCGTAGCGGTTCTTTCCTTGCTTTGCACTAATGAGGCCCGGGCTCGAGTCCCGGCTTGGCCAAGGCTTAAGTGCATTTGGTTTCCAGTCCATACTCGCTCTCGCAGGATTTCCTCCGGGGACTCCGGTTTCCTCCTGCCTCTAAAACTTGGACCTTCTTCCTAACTCCGTAATGTGATGCAGATTAATAAAGTATGTGAATAAACGTACAGTTATTGGCGCAAATAGCCCGAGTTGCTGAAAGTGCAATTAAAACAAAACAACTTGTAACGTTCTCTTTTGGGAGAAGTAGTGATTATGAAAAGAGCCAATGTGTCTTGGCTTGGTTCGAGGCCGCTCGCGTATGAAGTGGGTCAAGTAGCCTTTTATACTCGTTTGGATGTTTCCCTTTGATACCAGGTGCCCACGGATTTGGTCCAGGGCTTCTTGGTGCTGGGTGTTGAAGGGTGCACCACTACAAATAAATTCCCATAGACAGCAATGATAAATCCCAACACTTCACAATTATTTTAAAATGCTCACAACTCTCACAGGTGTTCAGGCTGCACAGGAAAACAATGATCGACATGTCCTCTTTCATTTTCCTTTCAATTTTCGGGGGGTTGACCAATGAATTTTTGAGAAATTTTCACCTGAAGCAGACCATCCCTAAAATGAAGAAAATGTCCCTGCCCAGAAAAGTAGCCTTTTTGAAAAACCATTCCTCTTCAAAACGGCCAAATAGTGCCACTTCCGGCCCGACTGCACCCAAAGTGCTCAGAATTGGAAGCCCCGAGATGTAGATTGACATAATCTTATGCATTACTAAACTGAGACGGACAAAATAAACCCCAAATCACAATGAAATGAAACCTTCATAATCAAGATAACTACACAATAAGGGAGCTTAACTTATATAAAAAATATATGGATGCTCAACCCTCAGGTTATAGCTTCTAAAAGCACTATAATTTTAGGACTCTCAGACACTAAGTTGGAAACCGTGAACACAAAAACTGTCCGTACATGTCAGTTAAACTAAGCAATGTGCCACGCATGCCCAACGTGCGCTGCCACCTAGATATGGCGCGCCTGGGAATAGCACCTAACCATGGAGTGCAAAAATTTACAAAATTAAAGCTTGGGAACAGCACGGGGGGGATGCTGGCGAAGCATGAGCTCGCCAAAATGTTTTCCTTTCCGGCAACACCTGTTGTGTGGATAAACGAACCATAGAGAGCATGTCCTTCCCTTGGCAAAATACTTCAAGCCAGCACAAGGACATTTTAATAAAAAGTCGTCAAGGTGCTTCTCCTCTGTTATAGTCTGTTGCTTACGTCAGAGTGAATAATCGATAACAGACGCTCCATACACTGCCTCACGTAGGTACACCATAATACCTGTAAAATATTCCAAGCTACGCAGCTAAAGAGTTGACGTGCATGGTGAGTACGTGTATAATTTCCCTTACAGCTGTCAGTGAAAGTTTTATTCAGTTTCTCTCAATGAATGGGAACAAATGCATGGAACAGATCTGTCCCTCTTGACAAATTACGCATCTCTCCATGCTATGAGCTGCACCAACTTCTCAATGCTTATAGTAGGCCTAGGCTGTAGGTTGTTTCATGATAGGATCGTCGATGAGAGACCGCAGGTAACTCAGGCTAGTTCTAAATGGAGAGTATAATAACGTTTTCTCTGTGATGACCCATTTTCATTTTTTACCAAGTGCGGTGCTAAATTCTCGATTTCCATAAGTACCTCCCAAGACCATGGACAAGAAAATAATCAAAGGGGGTTAATTTCAGGGCTGTTCCTTTTCCTTCTATACTGTGTTAATAATTTACAATTTACCCTCACTCTCGAAATGACCAGTAAAGATTAAAAGTACAGTAAAAATAAATAGAGTCACCTTTCAGATTTCCCCTCCCTCCAAAAAAGATCTTCACCTCCCAAAGAGATAAGGTACATGTATTTGACTTAGCTCAGTTGTTCACTTTGTAATTTACTCTCAAACACGTTGGGTACAAGACCAGAAATGCACGTCACAGGATTTTGGGATTTTATGCCTGAGTTAATAAAGGTCCAACTACACAAGGCACAATTATTAAGCTATTGCTGATTCATAAATTTTTAATGCAACTTGCCATGCTTATCTGTTACGCTCCCTGTTTGACTTTTGCCCTCTTGATTTTGCAGTGTATGATCCATTGTGTCCTGATTTTGTTCCAATATCCCAATATTGCTCTTTGATTCTCCAGCCCATTTCATTTGCCACTCTGCCCACTCCGCTATTTGGATACGCTACGGGTATTGAATATGGCAATTAAAGTCGCAGTAATTGGTGGGGGAGTAGCTGGTCTGTGTGCTGCAAGGTACCTCTGCGCTAAATCACCAGACGTCTTTCAGGCGGTGGTTTATGAGCAGTCCGATCAGATTGGAGGCACCTGGGTCTACACGGATACCGTGGGGAAGGACAATTACGGCCAGCCTGTTCATTCAAGCATGTACCGCCGGCTGAGGTAGGTGTTCACTGTTCAGAACCAACAGGTGGCTATATTTCATCTAGTTCGGCAGATACAGTCATTGACGTCTTAAAATGTCTGGGCTCGCAATGCCCTTCAGCAGCCAAAATAGGCCATTCAACGTCAGCGGCTATAGGTAAAACCTTGGAGCTTTATGGTAATACAAAGGCGTTCTTATCGGTCGTGGCATAAACCGCAAGCCAACGATGACCTTTGTATTCGTCTGGAGCACGTATATTTCACCTCCATTTAACGTGTGGAAATTAACGACTTCGACCTTGCGTGGCCGTTGCTTGACCGGACCCTCGTGAACCATGCGGAAACGTCCTTGGCAACCTGCCAGTCATCTGTTTAGCCTGGCGTTTTGGAGACTTCGTTTGCACAAAGTTAACAAATGTTCACATTGAAATTCTTTGTATATGCTCGAGAAGGCTTAAACCGAATAAAACACTACAGAATCATGAAAAGAAATGCAACATAAATATGAAATTTAGCCTCAAAAGGGTTGCTAAGATAATTATTTCCATTTTCAATCGATCACTTGGTCTTTTCTTCCACTAAATTTCTCAATTTTATAAGTTTTCTCAGAACAGTGAGACACTGCATACGACAAGCCAGAATCTCAATAACCTAATACAATCAGTTCTGTGTAGCTAGATTTTTTTGTTCGATGACCTTCATAACTTATATGTTAGTGACAAGATCAATCCTGGGAAAGCATTATAGCGCCCTGTGTTGTTCACAGGCATTTAGGCTGTAATGATGGGACGTCGACGCAGAACATTGCTCGTTTTTTCATGAGCCGAGTGGAATGGACGGTGGAGGAAAAAATTTGTTCAACCTCTGCATCTTTCTCCTAGGTTAATCTCTTGAAAGGAATTAAAGGAAAGAATTTGGAAGCCTCTGTAAGACTAAGAGCTTTGTAACCCTTTGTACAAGGACCTTTTATAAATGTTTAAGTAGCGTTCACCACATGGAGTTTTGACAAGTTACGTAGAATTACAATTTGGAAAAGACAGTTGGAACGTACACCAGCGTGAACTCTTGCTTTTATTTTAGTGCACAGTATGGACTGATATAGCTTCAAAGAACTGCTAGAGCGTTGGAAACTTCTGGGTGTAGCCGTCGACGCTCCATACTTTATCCCTTTTTAGTGACTTTTGGCATGCCATCCAACGGTCGTAAAGTTCACGATAATTTGACAATATCTTCAGGTTTGCAATTTGGACCAGTCACATGTATCTTCACATGACATGTACTAGGGCTTACCAATTGTTGTGTTGATGTGTTTTCTGACATGCATATTTTCTGTATTTGTTTACCTGTAGTTCTTACGGCATTCGAAGTGGGAACTTCTGCTTTGAACCAGAGGTCAGAAGTAAATAAAACTTGAAAGACATGCCAGTACAAGAACGTGTTGAATGTAATTCCATCAATTCTCGGAGACAGGCACACTGGGTACACTTGCAGGCCCAGTCCATTCACTCAATTACCAGATGTACGTGAAATAGTGAGAGGTGGGCAATAGAGCTAGTACGTTAAGAAGGGCCCATGAACCGATAAAAGGGCATGTACATGTACATTAGGCCTATATTTGATACTTCTCCGCAGCGCGATCTGTACGTGTTTTACATGCACAAAACCAAGCCAGCCACGTTCCCGTACCCCGCACGGTACACTGCGGCCTGGCACCACGGACGTACATGTACATGTATATAAAAAACTTGAACCTGGATTTGCAACACCTTTGTATGAAATAGGAGCCAACCAGCGGCCGTTTTATCGAGCCGAATACAAATGTGCTGGCTCGTTTGACGCCCGCAGGGAGAACAAAGGCAGGCATTGCCGGGCAAGCTTTGTAAAATGGCTGTTAGTGGATTCAAAATTATCTCTATAAGCTGATTAAGGGCATTGCAAGTCCAGATTTTTTTAACATACGTCCGTGCCTGTTACACGCGTACCGCGGCGTACATGTACGGGTGCGTATTATAAGTCCGACGCCTCGTAAGTCCGAATTTTCGGATACATACCGTGAATTTCAACATTTTCCTGGCAATTTTATAACATGCCAGATAGACCTCGGTTATAATAATAAACTTCATGTTAACTTACTGTACTTTTGTGTTTGTCTTTCGTTCCCGAGTCACTGAATTCTTACACTC